GTCGATCCTTCTGTAGCGGATCGTTTTTTGCCGCTTCGGATACCGGGGCACTACGGGATCCGTCCAGACCCCCCCCCCCCCCCCCCCCCGATAATCATGTGGATATCATGTTGGGGAGTTCTTTTTTGCGCTCGGACTGAGCCCGGGGGTGCGCCGGACTCAGGGTTGATCGGGTCCGTTCCCCTGTCGCTCTTGAGATCTCTGTCTCTCATTTCGCCGATCGAGCAGAATGTCCGGTCCTGAAAGCGGCGATCTTCGGCAAGAAAAAGTGTGAGAGATATCGTGCGTTTAAGTGTCGAAACTAGCAAGAAAATAATCACTATTATTTTTAGCCCCACGGTGGGCGCCAAACTATTTACCGTGAAAATGGTAACAATAATTAAATTTGTAAATTTTTTTTTTGGCAATCCACCAGGCATGGCCTAGGGCTGGTTTTTTATAAATATAGAAAATCAAAAGTACATAGTTTGTCCGGAGGTCTAACAAAATGAACAAGATAAAAATTGAAGACTACATAGAACCTATTACCAATATTGAGTATAATACTCAACATAGGTATCACATGATGAAAACTAACAAAATTACTTATGCTATAGCTATCAAAATCCATGTTTTTATGAAAATGTATTACTGCCCCTATGATCATGATGCGTTCTTCTTCTCCTTGATGAGGTAACGATCCTACTGTTGTCCAATTGCTGATCAAGTTCCCCATGTTTTCCATAAACCACAAGCATCTGCAAAACATTTCCGGATTTGCTTTGCCCCGTTGCTCATTTGCCTTGTATTTGCCCTCTTTTTTGTCAGCTTTCATCTTGTGTATTGTAGTTGTCTTCTCCTGCATTCTTTCCTGGTCTGTCCTGCTATGATGGAGTGTGATTATCCCAGCCCATTGTATAGTGCCATTGTCCGCAAATTGTGACCAAAATTGCCCTTTGCATTGCCATTTCCAGTTCAACTCACCTGTGTAATATTTGTGTTCTATTTTGCGATGACTTGCTCTAGGTATGACTAGCTTCTTTGTGAAAAATGATCCCTAGCCAACGGAATTGTGAAGCTGCATTTGGACTGCAGCTATCCTGCCCAGAAATCTCGACCAACTTTTGCTGCATGCATGAAATTGTAGCTGTGCTTGGGCCTTGTCAGTGCCCCTTCCTATCCAATCTGCTATATTTATGCTCATCTGTGATTCCCCTGCAATGGAATGAGCACACTGTGCTAATACCACCAATTGCAGGTTCCTCACTAGGTGAGGCATAGCCACATTAACGACTCCTGCAAAAAAGCAAATTACGTTAGTGAAAAATTGTCTGCCCATGTGTTCTTCGTCTCTCATCTGAGCATGAAATTTGGTTGCTCTTTGATCATCAAACCAGCTGTCCTCCTTGCTTCTATTTTCCATTTCCAAATTCTCCAAATGCTTAGAGAACCAGCCTGTCCATATGCAATATAGATGTTCTGCACTATTACTTGCCTGACTTCCTGTATCCCTTGCTTTATTTTGCCCACTTCGCTTAAACATTCTGGGCAACACTCTTTTGCACCTCAAAGTACCTGACCCTACTGATTGTCCAATTCTCTTAAACATTCTGGACCTTTCTGCTGTGTCTTGTTTTCTTGAAGCACTCTTTCTGTATGGAAATCCTGCTCCTCCATGTATAATGCTCCAAGATGCTGCTAGAAATATTTGATGCTGCCCATTTTTCTTTGACATTCTGGGCAATTCTTTCCTCCATTCAGTTGTCTTTTTGGACCTCTTTGTTGTTGTGCTATTGTTCAGCTGTGACAGTAACCCATTGGAATGTATGCATAGCATTAATACCACCAAATGGACCTCCATCACAGCATCGAACAATAGCTCACTAAATGTACCTGAACACCACTCCCCCAGTCACTCCCTAGTTTCTTGAGACTTTTACTCTTAGGTATGGGCATTGCAGTTTATCAGAGTTCACAAGCCTTCTCCCTTTCACATCCAACTCCTCAAAACCATGACATTCCAATTCACCTACATCCAATGCATAGTTTGCAATGTGGTCTGCTAGCTTGTTGCCTTCCCTAAGAGTATGAGACACCTTTACATTTGCTCAATTCATCAGTTGTCTAATTTCCTCCACCATTGTTTCTATTACCCATGGTGGCTTCCATTCTCCAGTTATTGCCTTCTTTAAGAGCATTGAATCTGTGTGCAAATCTATCAGCACATAGTCCTGTTGCACACAGTACTGCATTACTTCATAGATAGCCTTTGCTTCAGCAACTGAATTAGAACCTTCATGTATTTCCTTGCCACATGCATACAGAACATCCCCCTCTTCATTTCTAAGGACAAATCCAATAGAGCTCCTGCCAGGATTGCCTCTAGAGGCTCCATCAGAATTGAAGTTTGGGAGTGAACTGCTCCATCATCTTCAACATATCTGGCCACCTGTGAGGTACCTGCTGAACTCCTGGCTTTCTTACCTTGATTAGAGAGTGCAAGGTATTTGAAATTTGATAGACCACTGTATTGATGGTAACTGCATCCCCATACTTGTAACTATTTCTTCTCTTCCATAGTTCCCAAACGATTACTGATGGCAAGGCTTGCATAATTGGTTTCAATCTAGGTACAACATCTGCAGTCCAACACTTTACAATGACTTGATGCAATGTGAGTCCTTCCACTGCAATGCCTGCATGTCCAAGATAGTACTTCCACACTTTGTTTGCTGCATATGAGGTGAAGAATAAATGCCGTGTAGTCTCCTCCTTTGGTTCTGCACAACACCAGCACTTGGATGCCATTAAATACCCCAGCCTTCTGAAGAAGTCATCAAGTGGCAACTTGTTTCTCCACACCTTCCACATGAAGAATGCAATTTTAAAGGGCAATCCATTCACCCATATCATCTTGAATGCATTCATTGGCTCAGCTCTTCTTCTCAAATAGTCCCAGGCTGTTTTAACACTGAAATATCCTCTAGGTTCCAGCATCCAACAGGGTACATCAAGCACTCTTTGTGCAGTAGGAGGCTTGATGTTCTGTAAGATGTGTTCTACAAATTCCTCTGGTAACAGTTCGACCAATCTTTCTGCATCCCACCCTTCTCTATCAACCACCTCCCATGCATTGTGCACCGATTCATCTACACCAAAGTCTTGTGGAACCAGGAAATAGAGAGCCCTCAGCCCTGTCCAATTGTCATACCAAAATAATGAAGAGCCCATTCTTGGATGCCACATTATCTGATGTTCAATTAAATCCCTACATTCCAACATTTTCCTCCACACATGAGACCCTCGCCTCCAAGGTACTATCACAGATAAATAACGTAGGAGATAAAGGATCCCCTTGCTTTACTCCCCTCGAAGATTTGAAGAAGCCATGTGCTTGACCATTTATCAATACTGAATACCAATTATTGGACACTATGCCATATACCATGCCTATAAACCTCTCTGAAAACCCCATTTTTCTTAGCACCTTGGTCAGAAAGAGACAGGATAACCTGTCGTAGGCCTTGGTCATATCTAGCTTCATAATCACATTTGTTCCTGCCTTGGTTCTAATTCTCATATCTGTGACAATTTCTTGGGTGAGCAGTATGTTTTCTACCATGCTCCTTCCCTTTACAAAACCAGACTGCTCTTCTGATATTAGATTAGGCAGCATCCCCACAAGTCTTCCATGAATCACCCTCGATATCACCTTGTTAGAGAAGTTACTAAGGCTTATAGGTCGCAAATCAGAAAAGGTGCTTACCTCTTTTTTCTTTGGCAGTAGAACCAGATTGGTATGGGTAATACACTTAGGCAGATCATGCCCATTAAAGAATGCCCTTACCATATCAAAATTATCTCCTCATATGATGTCCCAACATGACTGGTAAAATTTGCCTGTGAAACCATCAGGACCTCCTGCACTGTCTCCATTAAGACCAAAAACTGCTTCTTTTACTTCTTTCATAGTAGGCTATTTTATCAGGTGAATTCTGTTCCACATCAACCAAGGAAGGAACCTGATCTAAAATTTCAAAAGAGGTAGGCACTGCAGTTTCAGAGAACTGATCCTCAAAGAACTTGATTGCTTCTGCAGCTATGTCTTCATCTTCCTCAATCCAATCACCTTGACTATTCTGAATTCTGGATAGTTGCAATCTCTTCCTTCTGCCTCTGACCTGTGCATGAAAGAACTTCGTGTTCCTGTCCCCATCCTTGAACCAAGACATCCCTGCCTTCTGTTTCCAGTACTTTTCCTCCAAAGCTAAGAACTTGATCAAATGTGCTTGAACCTTTTGTAACCTTTGTCTGTTTAACCTTGTGGGATTTGCTTCAAACTCAGCTTCATGTACACGAACAACTTCCTCCAAGCTGGCTATCTTCTGAAAAATATCTCCAAAAGTATCCCTGCTCCACCCTGATAGTACCTTCTTGAGCTTCTTCAGTTTATGGTTGAATAGAATGTAAGGACTTGCACTGAAATCTGCTTTCCAATTTTGTCTCACCACCTCCTTAAATGAAAAATGATCCACCCAGAAATTCAAGAATCTAAATGGTTTTATCACAGGAGGAGCCTCTATATCACACTTGATCTGCAATGGACTGTGATCTGAGCCTATTTTGGATAAATGCTGGACCTCTATTCCACGGAATGTCTGCTGGAATTCAGAGTTGGCTAAACATCTGTCTAGCCTCTTGAAAATACAATCCTCCTCTGCCCTGCCATTCCACCATGTGTATATACTACCCTTAAACCCAAGATCAACCAGATTGCAGGTGTTAATGCAATGTCTAAAATCATCAATTTCAATTAAAGACATTGGGAGTCCACCAAACTTTTCTTCTTCATCCCATATGACATTAAAGTCACCTCCCACTAACCATGCACTGTCATATCACTTGCCATATAATATAATGAATCCCATAACTCAATCCTCTCTATGGCATCACACTTAGCATACACCAATGTGAGTACAATTTCCACATGTGTTTCTATATGAAATAGCCTTAGAGTTAGTTGTTGTACCATATTGTACATCACTGTAACCTCATATACCTCATCTATAAAAGCCCAAAAGAAGGTGACCTTGAGGAAATAAAACAAAGAAATGGAACAATTGATGGAAAATTGGTTCGCGATTTGGAAAGGTCCATACATTACAGCAAAAGAGTGTGCTGTACTCAGGGCACATCCGGGCAGTTGTACCAACAAAGAATGGCCCGCGCTTACAACAAGAAGGTGCCTCCCAAGAATTTTGAAGTGGGACACAGCAATCAGGAGCCCGCCTGGAGAACAGAGGCATTAAATTTATGTTTTTAGCAATCAAGAGCCCGCCTGGAGAACAGAGGCATAACAGAGGCATTTATTTTCAAGTTTTTAGCAATCAGGAGCCCGCCTGGAGAACAGAGGCATTTATTTTCAAGTTTTTAGCAATCAGGAGCCCGCCTGGAGAACAGAGGCATTTATTTTCAAGTTTTTAGCAATCAGGAGCCCGCCTCGAGAACCGAGGCATTTATTTCAAGTTTTTAGCAATCAGGAGCCCGCCTGGAGAACAGAGACATTTATTTTCAAGTTTTTAGCAATCAGGAGCCCGCCTGGAGAATAGAGGCATTTATTTCAAGTTTTTAGCAATCAGGAGCCCGCCTGGAGAACAGAGACATTTATTTTCAAGTTTTTAGCAATCAGGAGCCCGCCTGGAGAACAGAGGCATTTATTTTCAAGTTTTTAGCAATCAGGAGCCCGCCTGGAGAACAGAGGCATTTATTTCAAGTTTTAGCAATCAGGAGCCCGCCTGGAGAACAGAGGCATTTATTTCGAGTTTTTAGCAATCAGGAGCCCGCCTGGAGAACAGAGGCATTTATTTTCAAGTTTTTAGCAATCAGGAGCCCGCCTGGAGAACAGAGGCATTTATTTTCAAGTTTTTAGCAATCAGGAGCCCGCCTGGAGAACAGAGGCATTTATTTCAAGTTTTTAGCAATCAGGAGCCCGCCTGGAGAACAGAGGCATTTATTTTCAAGTTTTTAGCAATCAGGAGCCCGCCTGGAGAACAGAGGCATTTATTTCAAGTTTTTAGCAATCAGAGCCCGCCTGGAGAACAGAGACATTTATTTTTAAGTTTTTAGCAATCAGGAGCCCGCCTGGAGAACAGAGGCAATTATTTTCAAGTTTGTAGCAATCAGGAGCCCGCCTAGAGAACAGAGGCATTTATTTCAAGTTTTTAGCAATCAGGAGCCCGCCTGGAGAACAGAGGCATTTATTTTCAAGTTTTTAGCAATCAGGAGCCCGCCTGGAGAACAGAGACATTTATTTTCAAGTTTTAAGCAATCAGGAGCCCTCCTGGAGAACAGAGGCATTTATTTTAAGTTTTAAGCAATCAAGAGCCCGCCTGGAGAACAGAGGCATTTATTTTAAGTTCTTAGCAATCAGGAGCCCGCCTGGAGAACAGAGGTATTTATTNACACCTGAACTTGCCTTTCCTTTTGCCCTTGCTGAACATTGCTGGTGCCTACTGGAACAATCTCTTTACCTGTAGTAGGTCGAACATCATTCTTTTTAGCCCCATTTTTCACACGATTATCTCTAACCTCCTTCCACTGCTCACCTCATGGTTTAGTATTCCCAATAACTTTCCCACTTGAAAGGATCATTAAAGGCTGATTAGGCTGCTCCTTGTTGTTCCCATTCACCTCTGCTGATTTTTTGTGCTGATCATTGGACATTAGTTCTGGATGAATCCTCCAGCATTCTATCATATCATGGCCTTGCAATTTGCATTCCTTGCAATATTTAGGAATGTAATCATATTTAATGATCACCCATTCAGTTCTCACATCACCAGCTGCCTCATCCACAATGTCCATTCTCACCTTCTTTGGAAGTTCATCTAGCAGATCCACCAACACCTTCACACTAGCACAGCTAGGCCTTGTTTTATTCACAGTAGCCAAATCTAGATGTTGTGGGATACCTATTGCAGAAGCTAAAGAAAAAAGACATTCTTTGACAAAATAAGTAGGCAACAGATTGGGGAATGATATCCAAGCCATCACTTTAGGTGTTTCCTCTCCGACTTTAAATTTTTCATCATAAATCAAAGTTCTTAATTGATATTCCTCCCCATGCTTATCCTTAATATAATACACACCTTTTGAAGAGAAATCTACAAAGTCTTGCCATAAAGTCAAGCAAACTAAGATGTACCTGTCTCGTAGATATCCAATATTGCAGTCACCTCTAATACCACATTGCAAAGGAACAATGCGATGTATTTCATTGATGTCTGGCCATCCATACGAAAATTTGCACACGACTGCATATTGCAGCCCTTCAATTATATTCATGCGTTTTACTTCTGCCTCAGTAAAGCAAACAGTTGGTTGTCCCTGAAATACTTTGGCTCGTCTAGGTGCAATAGGCTTAACTGTTGCTGCACGTTCATGCATGGCAGTAGGGTTGGACGTAGGCTTCAATACTTTGGCATAATCCATGGGTTTAGCTCTTAGCCCATTTTTATTTGCCCTGGCGATGGACGTGCTTACACGCCACATTCAGGGCGAGGTGCCATGGGGTATGTTATTTGCAGATGACATAGTGCTAATCGATGAGACGCGTTGCGGGGTTAACGATTGGCTGGAGCTGTGGAGGCAGACCTTGGAGTCTAAATGTTTCAAGTCGAGTAGGACAAAAACTGAATACTTGGTGTGTAAGTTCGGTGTGGCGATCAGGAAATAGAAGTGGAGGTGAAGCTTGATTCACAAGTCATCCCCAAGAGAGATAGTTAATGTCAAATATCTTAGGTCTGTTATTCAGGGGAACGAGGAGATTGACAAGAATGTTACGCATCGTGTTGGAGCGGGGTGGATGAAATGGAGGCTTGGGTCTGGTGTTTTCTGTGATAGGAGTGTGCCACCAAGACTTAAGGGCAAGTTCTACAAAGTGATAGTTAGGCCGATTATGTTGTATGGAGCCTAGTGTTGGCCAGTCAAGAAATCTCATGTCCAAAAGATGAAAGTAGCAGAGATGAGGATGTTGAGATGGATGCGTGGGGATACCAGGAAGGACCGGATTATGAATAAAGTTATTAGGGAAAAGGTGGGTGTGGCCTCTATGGAAGACAAGTTGCAGGAGTCGGGGCAGAGATGGTTCGAGCATGTGAAGAGCAGAGACAACAATGCCCCGGTGAGGACATGCGAGAGGTTGACCATAGCGGGTCAGATGAGAGGTAGGGGAGGCCCAGGAAGTA